GGGGGGGGGGGGAGGTGACACCCCTAGAAATTTTCGAATGAAAACATTCGTGAATCGTAACCATTTGGCTAATAAAATTACTGTACATGTGCGTATGAGGCGCGAGTCTCTGGTCTATTTCTATTAACTGCGGCGCAAGTTGTCAAAGACAGATCATTCTATACCGAAATTCCTTCCCTTTCCTCCCTTTTTCTTTAGTTATTACGTGCTGTCATTTTCGATCATTTTCTTAATAGATTAGTTTTGTTCAAAGTGATGGGAGAAGGCTGCACCTTTTCTGTTACAGTAAAACTGTTACTTGTCTTGTCGATATTGTAGTGCACATTGAAACAAAAGGAACGAGTTAGGATTCTATCTACTTTATAATTAAAATATTGTTTTGTTGTTTTGTTGTGGATAAACGATCCACTAAAAGTAATTACCGGTTGTTAAATTTAATATTAATTTAATATGAAAAACATAAAATATTGTTAACGATGATAGTTGTGATTGTTTTTTATAATCGTTTTACATTAGCGATATATAACGAGTTCTTTTTGGCAAAATTTCTGTGCTTTGGCTTTTTTGTATTGAAAATTTGACAATTTAATATTGCACTCGTTGACATACTTCAAAAGTCGAGGCTTAACTCGAGCAACAACTTTTTTGTCAAACTTCGAGTTAAGCCCCGGGGCTTAACTCGAATAACCCAAATCGTGTTTCGTTCTTCGAGTTAAGCCCTTCTTGAAAAAGGGCGTGGTCTTGGCAAAACTTAACTCGAAGATTCCCGACCTCTAAAAATGCAAACTTCAATGGTGCTCGTGAACACCTTTGCACGTTTTCAGATATGACTCTGCCATATCTGAAAACCTGAACATAGATGAGTAATACCTATTCATTAAGGCAATGATCAGTTTGTCCCGAAAAAGACTGTTCTGGACATCAATACACGTGCACCACCTTGGATATAGACCGGGACGTTAAGCACTTAGTTAAAAATATTACCATACACAATCAAGCTGGCAAGTAATCAAGCCTGGTTTATACCAGTAAACTCAATCTGTAAAGGCTGATTACAATATCAAAGTTTTTGCGATCACAGTATCTTTGATAATAGAAACCAGCCTTACATGTAAGAGTCTTAGTAGAGTTCAGTGTTCATTAAAAAGTCACGATTTTCTTCAAACCAGAGGTGTATTCTCTTCAGCTGTCGAAGTCTCGTCATCTGCCTCTACAACTGGTTATCACTTGGCCATCATCAGTTTCACTTTCTTTCGTTGTAGATCATCCATGGACGACAATTTTCCACCATCACCAATAAGACCATTACTTGATTATCTTCTGCCTCATAGTTGTCATCCTCTGCAAATAACGTAAGCTGGACCTGCCGTGTTGGTTTCTGATGAAATTTGTTGCGTATGATTTTCTTCGCTTCTTTCTGCATCAAGAAGCTTGTCATTTTCATTACCTACTGCATCTTCTTTCATTGCTTTTGTTTGAGAATGTCTTTATTTTCCTATGTTGCTGCTGTAGTTGATATAAGCTAGTACTTTGTCGAACATCACCATGAATTCATACCCCGTATTTTGCTCCTGCCTGACACGCATTTACTGCGTATGCATTTCTTCACGCGATTTCACACTTGGCTCTGGCGGACTAAGACTCTGTTCTGCGATGGTCTAGTTTCACTCACACTAAGAGGTTTGTATTCTTGTGTCCATTCTTCATTTAAACATTCGACGTCGTTTTCTATTGGACAACTGTCTTCGCTATTTGATCCCTTGTTCGACGCTGTTCAAATCAAGTGATTGTCGGTAATTTCTGATTGTATATTCACAATCACTGGTTTGTCTTCTGTTCGCATTCGTTTATCAAGCATTCCTTTTCCTCTTTGGAGTGACGGTCCTTTGACTGTGTAGAACCTTTTCCATTCATTCCCTCAATATCTTGGGGATTATCAAATTGTTTTTGCTGACTGTTGTCTTCATTGAAGATAAAGTTTTATCTGTAGTTTCTTCACACTTGTTCCTTCAGATCCTGTTGTACTCCAGTATGTGTCCTTGATAATCTTGTCCTGCCGTCCCAAAATTTCGACCTTGTCTTCATTTGTGTCTTCGGAACTTCAATCGGCAGAACTTTTATTTGCCTATTTTAGTCGGCGGACAAAAATATTTTTGACGAATAAAACTAGTACCAATGATTTTCAACTGTTATATAAGAAATGGATATTTTGGTTAATCGAAATTTACTCCGCAAAAATGATAACGGACAAATATAATGATTCACACATATTGTAGTAAAGTAGTTTTAATATCAAAATTTATAATAAAATATTTTTTGTGTGTGTTGGTGTTATGTTATGCTGACGAATAAAATTAGTACCAATACCAATGATTTTCACTGGTACAGTGGTACTGTGACCTTCCGTGGTACACTTAGAGTAACATCGCAAAGACACAAACATATAAAAACGTCTCTATGCGTATTCATCGTGCAGTTTGTATTCTGCATTAAGAGCGCGATATAAACGGGTGCCATAACATTTATCGGAAATTTGACAAGATAACTGATTTGGTCGGTACAAGCTTGTCAGTCGATTGGGAATGACTTTAACCCCCCCCCCCCCCGAAAAGGGGGACGGCCTTGACAGCACGCCGCTGCATGCGGAGCAGGCGGAGTATGCCTGCATGCGGAGTATGCCTGCATGCGGAGTATGCAGTAAATGTTTTATCGAACATCATATGACACGTACTGTAAACAGTACAAAACATGCGCGAATACCCTAGTGGCGTTTTACGATTATTGTTCAAATACGACTACTAAGAATACTAGCTTTGTTGTCATAGACATCGCAGGATCTTACCGTATAAAGCAGCATTTCTTCGAGATCTTGATTTTTTTTCGTGATTTCCTGTAGATGTTCTTTCACCCTGCAACTCAAGCATGATAATTTGTTAAGGAAACAAGATTTTCCCACTGAATATAAATTAAATTCCATTTTTGGATGGGGTTAAGCAGGTCAAGCTCATAAAGTCGGATCAGGCCAAGGTAAACCAATTAATTAATTAATTAATTAAGGCCCCTGAAGGTGCACGAGGCTAAAAGACGGGCGCGCATTCGCGGACGATTTATATACATTTATATATAAATTTTAAAATTGTTATATAAAAACAATAACAATTTTTAAATTTATATAAATGCACCACGTATCGAAAAAAAACATGCGTTCATGTCTCTTGCATTAAATTAAGCGAGAATGAGAGTGTGGGAAGCGAGAGTTGACTGAACAAAAAATTTTCTGGGGGAGGACCCCCCTCCTATTTTTGCAAACTAAGTATGACAGTGGAAATCAGTCAGAAAAAGCTCTATTATAATTATTACACTTCAGGTAAATTTTTAACATTGAAG